ATAAGCCACTCCGTTTTATTTTTTTTTTTTTTTTTTTTTTTTAATTTATAAAAACTGAGAAACCCAAAAGGACAGTCAGCCATTTTTAAGTGCCTAATAATATAAACAATAATTATGTAGTGAACGGCCAAAAGCAAATATCTGATATAGTATGAATTCTATACATGTCTAAATAAACTTACGAAACCAGGGAGGGGAAGGATGGGGGTGGGGGAAACTTACCCGCTTACAAAGTTATGGTTAGGGTCTGGACCTTCCCCTCTAGTCTAGTCTAGTTTGTTGTGTGTGTGCGTATGTGTGTGTGTTGTTTGAAAGGTGTCTTGGAATGTGGAAACCCCGCTTCAACATTGAACGCAATTTATAGTTATTTAAAAGTCACACCCCTGCTGTTGTCTGGGGGGGGGGGGGGGGGGGACTAAATTTAAACTAACTGTTGAGCGGGCATTTTGATACTTGTACCGAGGTGAATCTCATCCGAATGTTGGTACTTAGTGTCACTGCGAGTTTATCGCTTCTTGTGCGGTGAAGGAAGTCAAGAAGCGTTTTCAATGCAGGTGTATTCAGAATACGCTGCTATTGGCAAGGCTTAAGTGCATTCTCAACGTTCCCTAACAATAAAAAAACAACAACAAATAAAAACAGATACAGGAGCAAACTTTCTAGTTCAGGTGATTTGTGTATAAAATTAATTAAACTTTCCATATACATAAAGAAAATAATGAAAATTGCATCCAAACAGTTTCATTCATCGAAATAAAGACAAGTGAGCATTAAATGTGCACTGTTTTATTGTTCCTAAGTATTCAAACCGCTTTCAGGGTAGGTGTGTCGCCAATTATTATTATTATTATTATTATTATTTATTTTTTGCCTGACAAGGGTGCCGCAGCGAAACAAGTTTGAGAACCTCTTAACTAGACAAAATAAAACTCGAGGGCTATAGTTATCGTGCCGAGAATCGGACCTGTCACCTCCTATCAGCAGTTGCGCCTCTCTATAGAAACAGGTGTAAAGAACCACACGTGTAAAGGTGTGGTTAATGCATGGCCAACTAGGCACTCATTTGAAAAAAAAAAAATGTGTCTTCATTAGTCATTCTGTCGTACAGCTTTACAATTCTACGGACATAATTTATTTCAAACCATTGAAGTGGCACTATCACCATCATCTTGTAACAGGTCATGTATCAGAACGTCGCTCTCTTCACGGTCTGCATGAAAGAAACTGAGTCTCTCGCCAGTTCTCCCGCCTCATGTACTTTCATACTCAAGGAGTCACTTATATCCTGTGTCCATCTTCGTGTTGGTCGGCCCCAGCTCCTCCTTCCTGGTACCATGTCCTCTGGTATACTTTTTTTTTCCAATCCGTCTTGGCCCTTGATATGACCAAAATATTTCAGCTTCCGAGACAGGATGCTGTTTATTAGCCAATCTTCTTTGATGTTCAGATCTTTCAAGGTGTCAGTATTTCTACTCTTTTTCGTCCAAGATATTCTGAGAATCTTTCTTTAGCATTTCAGCTCAAAAGCCCCTATTCTCTTTCTTAAGGACTAAGAGATAGTCCACGACTCACATCCGTGTGTAGCCACAGGGAAGATGCATGCTCTCACTTCTAATTTTGATCTCCTTGCTGGTGCTTAACCATAGACTTTTTAGGCTGTTTAATCTTTGCATTTCTATGGCCATCCTCCTTTTAATTTCTGTCAAACAGTCTCCATTGCTATTTATTATAGAGCCTAGACATTCAAAGTTTCTTCACCATTTATTGTTTCTTTGTTATTTTTGGGTGACAGTCAGTTTTATCTGTGGACATTATTTTCGTTTTTTTTTTTAAATTCAAGAACAGATTTTAATTTTAATTTTGCTTTTGGACAGACAATATTAAATGTTCTACTCCCTTTACGTTGTTAGAAAGGAGGACTGTGTCATCTGCGTAGCGAAGTTCCGGAAAGGGTAGTGGCACTATAGGTTACAGAACTTCATATTTAACAAGAGTAGGTCGAATAACAAAAACAGTAACTGTTACAAATCTGGAATCAACCGCTGTGTCTAGAATACAACGAACATTTATGAAAGAGAATCGACTGGTCGGTTCCATGGTAATACACGTAATACTTAATTAAGATCGGCACAGCAAAAAACGAGACGCACACCAGCTACGCCAGAAGACTTGTTAATCAACATAGAACTGGTACTATTAGCCATCGGACGTTGGGGTTCATACTGAGGGGAGGATCTGAGCACCTATGGACATGTCCGGAGTGCAATGAGGATAACCCAACTAACTAACTAACTAACTAACTAACTAACTAACTAACACGTAATACTTACAAATAAACTAGGGCGGGGGCCTTTAGTTTAAAAAAAAAAGTCATTACTACATGGCAGATTTGCCAATGGTGTGAGAAGGTGACTTCGGTTTGTTTCTTTTCAAATATTGTCTCTGTGTGAGTTCCGGAGCCTTATCTTTAGAGGGTTGGGGTTGGGGGAAATAGAGCCACCAGCCCCAACCCAAGCAAGCATGTCGTAAAAGATAACCAATTAGGACTGTTTCCTACGAAATCGGTGCGCATCTGCCCGAGAGGCAGTGAACCAACTGTGTGCATAGAAATCAGCCAGATTTGTGAAACAGATGTGCACGCAAAACTGAAGTTTTGGAACTGGTGGTCCAGAAGTGGACAAATAAACATAGCTGATTGACAGAGTTTACAAATGGTGGAAGCTTAAAAAAAAATTAGAAGAAATCCGGAGTTTCCAACCCTTTTGTAAGACAAGGTGTAACATCGAAAGTTAACAACGAAACGTGTGGAACTAGTGCACAAACAAATCTGCAAGAACTACAATGTTTAATGTTTCTATTTTGCTGCAGATTTCCGCATTTGGAAAATTATTGCTTCAAACATCCAATAGGAAATCACGGCAGGTGATATCTACAGGCGTAGCTGTTAAAGCCGATGTGAATTTCTTAAAATGAAAGGAGCCATAAAGGAAGCAGTAGCATTCTGTATGCTATTGTTGGGTAAGTGTCCACAAAATATATTTAGGAATTAGGTAAGATAATTGAGCAGCTATTATTAGGTCTTCTTCTTCAATTCTTTCTGTCTGTCTGCCTGTCTGTCTGCCTGTCTGTCTGCCTATCTGTCTGTCTGTTTCTATGTCTGTCTGTCTGTCTTTCATTTTCTTCTTTTTCTTCTTCTCTTCTTCTTCTTCTTCTTAATATTATTATTATTATTATTATTTCTTTTTTTTTCTTCTTCTGCTTTGTTTTTCTTCTTCGTCTGCTCCTCCTCCTCATTCTTCTCCTTCTTCTTCTTCTTCTTCTTCTTCTTCTTCTTCTTCTTCTTCTTCTTCTTCTTCTTCTTCTTCTTCTTCTTCTTCTTCTTCTTTTGTCCTATAGCTTATGCCTAAAAAGTCGCAAAGAGGAGTAAGATTCTTTATCCCCTCCCCCTCGAATATTCCAGTCTGTGTGCTCAACATCTCTATGATAACAACTAAACAGGTACGAATTCCGGAAACTCCGTACAACCCTATAGCCATACAGCACAGTTAAAATGTCGGCATCTGTGGAAACTTCGTAATGCCGAACTGCCCGGGTTCGATCCCAGCTGCAGGCCATGCGCCTTGCGTTGGTTTCGACAATTGTATCGAGAAGCCGACTGTCCAGAAAGCAATGGCAAACTACAAAACGTAAATTGGCATAGAAATACAACAACAGCCAAAAATGCTGAGGTTGATTCTGCACACTCATCATTATTAGCATTACTACCTTTATCATCACCATCATCATCACCATCATCATCACCACCATCTTTACCATCATCATTACCACCATCATTACCACCATCATCATCATCACCTTCATCAACAGCTGGAGCACCATTTTCAGCATCGTCATCATTATCATCCTCATCAGCCCTATCATCACCATCCTAATCATCTTCTTTATCATCATCATCATCAGTACCACCTCCATCATCACCATCTTAATACCCTGCGTGGTGTTGGGTCACAGTTTGCTGCTGACTGTCTGATCAGTTCTCTCCACCTCTGTCGTTCGGATGGAATGAATATGATATTTGCATGTTTGAGACCTTTCCATTCAGCCACATTCAGCTTTTTCGTGGTCTGTCGCTTCTTCTTTTCTTCTCTGTCGAACAGTGTAACATCCTTTTGTAGAGGCTATCGATCTTTTTACACATCTGTCTTTTCTGTCCTTTCACTGTTGTAGAATAGGGACCACATTTTCTAATGTTTGCAGTGATGATGCTGTAAACTTTGTAATTTTGATGTAGTCTCTGTAACATACCCAGGAGCGTTAGAAGAGATCCAGATGTTTACTTCTTTTTCTTTAAAGATGAGATGTTTACGTCTATATTTAACAGCCTAATGTAAAGATAATAATAGCTAGTGCTCTAAGTCGTATTTTAGTTTTGCATTAGAAAATATAACTGCCACAAAGACTAATTATAAACAAACCTAGAGAAACAGTGGGAAAACACTCATGGAGATGAATGGGGAGTTGGATTCTACAAGACGTAGGACGTTATGAGGACAAAGCCATGAGAGAGAAGGGCAGACCCTTTCTTTTACCAGGTAACATCTCCATAAATGACACCTGCAATTTTTGTTAAACTGTGGATGAACTGGTAACAGGGGCGCCCTCAAAGAAAACATGGGGGATAGGGCGTGGGGGAGGGGGGCTGCTTCTGATATTTCAGAAGGAATGGTGCTTTTAGTCCTCGTACTCATTTGCTGAAGGGGCCTCAAAAGCCTAAGCGTTGATTAAGTGAGTCATAATGGTAATTATAAGGATGATAATAGTAATAACAATAATAATAACAGTTTGCTGAATGCCCTAAAAATATAACTGAAATAAGATAAAATGCATAAATAAATGCTCTTGAAACAAGATCTTTTTAGACGGTGGGGTGGGCGGGAGGAGGATGGGCAGAAAGATTATTTGTTCCATTAAATTGTATTTGGGGGAGGGGGGGGGTCCAAATGGATCCAAACCGCCAGGTTCCTGTGCCCATGACTAGTAAAGACAGAACTAGCTGTAGAGTAAATGAAACATATTAGCATTTTAGGATTATGCGAAACAAGTTGGAAACGAATTTAGTGAAAAACATTTTTATAAACACAGGTGTTGTGTGTTGTTTCTCAAGTCTTGCTGGGACAATGATTCTTATTACCAAGTGGTCCTAGATACATTTTTTTAAATTACGTTATAAGGGAGCTCTCCGTGTAGCAGATCCTTTGCAGAAAGTTGCTTTCATCCATGCGCAATTTCCTAAGTAAGGTGTCCTATGCCTAGGACGGAAATATAACCAGATTGGGAACGGTACCATCAGTACTGGAACTCTGAGCTGGCTGCTGAAGATAAGAACGGAGCATGCATGGGAATGCCTTGAGTGCTGTGATGTCAATTCTTGACTCAACTCAACTCAACCCTATGGCCGTCTTCATGTTGGTCGGCTCCTGCTACCATGTTGTCTGCATTTTTTTTTTTCACTCTGCCTTGGCGCTTGATTTGGCCAAAATATTTCAGCTTCCCGGACAAGATGCTGTTTACCAGGTAATCTTCCTTATGTTTGGATCTTCTAGGGTGTCATATTTCCTTTCTTCTTTGTCCATGGCATTCTGGTAATCTTTCTATAGCATTTCAGCTCAAAAGATCTTTTTTTTTTTTCCTCAAGGACATTTGGGAGACTATGCCATCCACCCTCTTATATACTGTCAGGTTTAGGTTTAGATTAGGTTTAGACGACTAATCAACATTATGGCACAAGGGTAGTAACCTATAAGTGCTCCCTTCTACTTCTGACTCAAGCCTGAGCCTGAAGAATCTCAGCGTAGTACACGAGCTCCGTAGCACCGGCGAGGATCTTGAAATACATTGGGTAGATTTTTAAGTCCAAATTTTGCCCGGGCAGCGCCGTTAGGCTACTTTTTTCGATTTCTCACCGCCTGGAGATTTTTTAAGTGTGCAACAATACACAGGGTGGTCCTATCTTACCAGACAGAGACCAGGGGAAAATTAGCAGATGTTCACCTGAGAAAATCCCAGCCCTCACCGGAGAATGAACCCGGGATCTCCAACATTCGAGGCGGACGCCATGCCTCGAGACCACGCAGCTTCCTGTTAGACCTTTACTTTTGTAGACTAATTGGCAGTCAACAACATCCCTATTGTAATATTATTTTATATTATATTCGTTACGTCCTTTTCAGAACGTAATTTTTTGTTATTTTAAGCCCCACTCTGGCTTTTGCCAGGGGCCGCAATATAGGCAGGCCATCAATATGGCCAAATGTCTGAACGCGGTTTCTGGGACCTCTCCACGGTGATCCTCATCCACATGGTGGCACCTTGTGTCATCGGGTGTTTATCGCTTGTGTGATGTCCTAGTGGGGTAGAAAGTCAGTCAGTCAGTCAGTCAACAACATCCCAGCTATCTCTTTTTTTTTTTGGACATTACCTGGCACAAAGAGACAATTTTTTTCCCCGAGAATTTTTTCGGGAACAACCATTCGTGATTAAAATCAGTTCTCAACATTTATGACCCTTTTTACCCTCTGGGTGTTTTCGGTTACAACCATTGGTGAGTAAAATGAGTTCTCAACATTGAAGATGATTCTCTTTGCGTGTTTTCGGGAACAGTTTTTTGTAAGTAGAATGAGTTCTGAAAATTTACAACTTTTTTCCCTGGACGTTTTCCGTGACAACCATTCGAGAGTATAGTGAACTTTTCTATAAACCAAGCCCAGGCACACGATCTGACTCTGGGACTATTCTCCAAGATCAGGGACCAGATGTCATCTTTTTTTGGCACCGGTTTTAGGCAGGGTAGATTTGAGAGCTAAGTTAAAACTCCGACTCGGTACAGTTTTGAACCCTAGACCTGCGGGCCGCCAGGTTGGTGTCTAACCGCTACACTATAGCGGTTAGAAGTGAATCAGGTAGGAGTCATTATTCAGATGTGAACTCAACAGGAGCAAACTCTAGATATGCAGTTTAAGCACAAAAACGTTATATGGGGAGTTGGAGGGGTGATATCCGACAGTTACGAGGTGATCTGTTGTTCTCATGGCCTACGTGATGATATCTGATTCCCTCCTTCCTTCCGTCTTTTCCCCCTCCAGGTTGTTACCTGAATGAGAAAACGCGAGTACATCAAGACAGTAGCAAAGTTAGAGGGGAAGAGAGACAGGGGGAGACATAGAGAGAATATGCTGCACAGTTTAACATCATGGTATGGAGGATCATCTGCGTCAGGGTTGATTTAAAGACACGACACAACAATTTGTGGATAGAGAAATTGTAGATAGACATGACTACCAACGCCGGGTCTTCTGATCACCAGAAGCGGTAGCTTTACCACAAGTGTAGTGCAGTTATTCTGTGATCTATCGATTGATCGGTTTGATAGGCAATCTGGATGGCAGACTAACCAGGGAGATTGGTGAATTCCCGTTCAACCCCCAAAGAAATTTGTATAATTAGAGCACTCGTAACGACTTCCTTTTCTTTTCATTTGAAAATGTGTTATTTTAATTGTATCATTGATTCCTTGACAGCATTTTTTTCTTAGGGGGTAAATTCACTTCTTTCTCAGTTCCTTTTTGTTATTCAGATAACTGGTATATTGTGAGAGGCAGGCGCATAACCCTTGTCTTCTTCTGACGGAGATCCTTGGGCTTGTTGATTTTCTTACGGTAACATTAGCACAAGTTGTTTCTGTGTCTGTCTGATGACTGTGAGCACCTACCTGGGCAAAGCCTCTAGAACTGTAGATCATGACCAACTTAGCTGCAGCGTCTTCTGTCCCTTTGGCCAGACGCAAGATCTGCAATTCTTGTCTCCGTTCAGTTCAGCGAGTTGGACTTCCTTCTTCTCAAGGGTACACCCGCCAGCTGTAGCCTGCAGTCCTATGAAATTGTCCTTGATGATGAATGAAGTTCATCACCACAGGACCTCAAAACGAGCGATAAACACTCGGTGACATAATGTGTCTCGATTTAGAATCACTCGTGAGCAAGTCCCAAAAACCCCGTTCAACCATTAGGTTATTTTATGACCCCCGACAATAGCCGGACTGGGGTTTTAAATTACCGAAAAATTGCCTCCTATATTCGGTTAATCCGTAAGTTTCTTGTATTCTTTAGCCTGTTACAACTACTTTACGAGACAGTACCAAATTCTGAGATGCAAAGTTTTCAAACAGATGTTTATAGTCAATCGTCTCACAATTGCGAAGAGGTTAGAAACACATTAACTCTTTGAGTCCCAAGGAACGCATCACACGTTCATAGGTTCCTACCTAGAGGCACAATAGAAGAAAGATTCGCCGATTTTACATCTTTCTTGACTACCCCTTGGGCCTGTGATGCTAAACCCCCTAGGACTCAAAAAGTTAAGTCAGTCTTGCAACCTTCATACCTAAATGACAGTCATGTCACTGTACAGCTGTATGTTAGTCCAACGACTTTGATGTCATGACTTTGAACTTAAGTATGCCAGAAATGATTGAGAGTCGTTTGACTATATTCGTAAGGGAAGTAATCTTGATAAAAATAAGGTTATTTTCTAAACTCCGTTTACTTTAACATGCATTACTCTCGCTCTCTCGCTCGCTCTCTCTCTCTCTCTCTCTCTCTCTCTCTCTCTCTCTCTCTCTCTCTCTCTCTCTCTCTCTCTCAAACACACAAACGCTCATATGAAACAACTATGAAAGGCGTATAGTTTGATGTTTTGAAAAGTTCCCGTTACTAAGTTAACTGTAAACTGCTGTAGGTTTTGATTTGAATCGGCGTCTGCTTTTTTCAAAGACCTCAGATGATAACTAAATGTTTGTTTAATTTTTCCCCCCTAATTTTCTCCCCCTTTAAGTTAATTACAAGGACATGATTATTAAAAGGTCGCATGTCAAATTTCAACAGTTTACACAGAATGATTTCTGAGTTACAGATTTTTCAAGTTGGTCACGACTTCTGAAACGGACTATCAAAAATGGTCAGAAAACAACGATCTTTACTGCCTGTTTTTGGTCACTTTTTCGGGACGGTGAATGACGTGAGATCTTGACCGTGAGCACTTAACTGATACATGGATTCTGCATCACGACGGACTGTGCAAACTAAGATTCTTTTTAGCCCTTGAAAAACCGTCACCTTACTGATGATTCGAACACTGGTCTCTCAAATAGAAGATCAGTATTCTTAACCGTCTCGCCAGCTCCTTTTCTAAACACAATAACCGGTCTTCTAAAAATAATAACGTCTTCTAAAAATGATCAGAATTGCGAAGTAATGTAAAGGTCACAAGTTGAATAAAGGTAATCTTTCTCCCAGAAAACCACATCCGGTTTAATCTCCTGTCTACGTAGGTCATCAAATATTATTCTTCTAGCTCTAAAGGAATTCACGGCAGGACAAGTCATCGCTGAAAGCTAATTTCCACAATTTGTGGACGTGTGTCACTTAATGACACAGCGTTCACTAACTCTAATTATGTCTTTGAGTTGTCTACAAGGGCGTCGACATAAAGAAATCATTAGGGTTGTGGGGAAAAAGGGGGGGGGGGGTGGTGAGAGTCGGCCACTCATTTTTAAAGAATTTTTTCAATATATCGTGCCTTTTTGGGTTGATTCGTAATGCATTTTTTTTTTTTACATTAACAGTTTTACTCAGGGTTCAGTAATCTATAAGTTATTCGTTTGAAAGAAGGATGTCACGGGCGTTGACTACGGCAAGTAGTGAGAGGTGACCCCGAGTTAATCTGTGTCGGACTGTCTGTTTGCTCCAGAAATCACTAGTATTTGTACCTGTGTGATTCTCTTCCAGGAGATATCAATCCTACAGAACGCAGTCAACCGCGTGTGGGGTTCCGGTATCCAATTCAGGGTTAAAACAAAAATAGACCTACTACCTTTCCAACAAGCATGTCGTAGGAGTCGACTCATTGGAGGCATTCTTTGAAGTCTACCTGAGAGGCAAGGAACCATGAGTCTGCATCTAAGACAGATCTGTTAAACTGATATACACGCAACATGACCTCAGGTGGACGAAGACTCAGAACTTTCCGCCTAAAGGGTTTACAGCCAATGAACGGAAAAAGAAGAAGAAGAAGAAGAAGAAGAAGAAGAAGAAGAAGAAGAAGAAGAAGAAGAAGAAGAAGAAGAAGAAGAAGAAGAAGAAGAAGAAGAAGAAGAAGAAGAAGAAGAAGAAGAAGAAGAAGAAGAAGAAGATGAAGAAGAAGAAGAAAAAAAGAAGAAGAAGAAGCAGAAGAAGAAGAAGAGGAAGAAGAAGATGATGAAGAAGAAGAAGATGAAGAAGAAGAAGAAAAAAAATAGAAGAAGAAGAAGAAGAAGAGGAAGAAGAAGAAGAAGAAGAAGAAGAAGAAGAAGAAGAAGAAGAAGAAGAAGATGAAGAAGAAGAAGAAGAGAATGCAATCAAGGAGAGGTGGAAATAATAATAACAACTGTCAGCTACTTTATAGTCTCCATATTGTAAATCTTGATTAATTTTTTGATAAAAAAATTAGCCCCTGGCCCTAAATAAGTGACCATTGACAGGGAATATTTTCTGATGCTGGTGGTACAATGTGGTGCGCATTACTGGCACCTTTTCATATACATTTCCATGGGTACAAAATTACCGTTGCCATTAAGCCGATCGTCTAGAGTAAGCGTTAAGCTTTCGATAATCGACAGAGAATAGTGGAAGTCTAACGTATTAGTGACATTTTGTGGACGCTCCAGATATGCGGTTTTTTTAGATGGATAATAAGAATAGATAAAATAGAATAGATAATAAAATACCTAGAGAGAACAGAGAACTGATTACCGCACCAGTTGATAAAATCTGTATTCTTTAAGCTCATAAAAAGAAGGTGAAAACTTAAATATGTCACATCAGGAAAGTTGAAGATTAACATATTAATCCAGTCATCTCCTTGTGAGATGTAATTTTTCGTTATTTGAAGCCCCACCCTGGCTCTTGCCAGGGGAAGTAATATAACCTGGCCATAAATATGTTCTAATGGCTGAACAAGGTTTCTGGACCCCTCCACGGTGATCCTCATCCACATGGTGGCACTTTGTGTCATTTGGTGTTTGTCGCTTGTGTAATGTCCTAGTGGGGTAAAAATCTACTACTACTAAAAGCTGGAGAGCATGAGACGTCTTTGCAAAGTATCGAAAACGCGGGCAGATCATTCTAGCATTGCCGGGTTATTGGCTTCTGGTCGATTATTCACTTGACCCTATGTGTTTGTCCGAAAGTATATAGTTCCATCGCCCAGTTACTAAACTGAGTGCATGTTGCGACATTGTTAATTATAGGCCTAATTTTTTCGACTGCAGGGTTGCATTACGGTTTATAATTTAGAGAAACACGATTGGATTCCAGCTACAAGCCATTTAGCAGCAGACCGATTCGCAAGAATTGTGACAAGTGTATCGAAGTGGTGTCATATTGACCACATCAACAATCGAGGACCGATTGCTCTGTAAACAAATAAAAATGAGTCTAGCCTTATATGCCCGATGCGCCAGTGGCGAGTAAAAGGACTTTAACTTGATTTTGTTACATTTTATCGAAGGTCGACTTACAGTAGGCAGTAACAAATACTGAACGTAAAAATTACTTGGTAAAAACCACAAACAACCCCAGACAAATGCTGGAGTTGGCTTGCAACATCCACTAACTTTAGTAATGTAAAGAATCTGTGTCCACGCCTTCAGGGGTTCTGGCATTTGGGGCTAGACCTACATCTTGTACATCAATGGTGAAAATATGGGGGTGACTGCAGTCAATCTTATACAAGGAATTCCAGAGAAATTTGACTAAAAAGCTCAACAAAATGGGGAAGAAGAAAAACGTGAACAAAACAACACAACGTAACGTTTCGGCCGGGCAGCCTTTTTCAAACATAAGTGAACTACATAAACGTCACAACGAGTAACTTCACTTATGTTTGAAAAAGGCTGCCCGGCCGAAACGTTACGTAGTGTTGTTTTGTTCACGTTTTTCTTCTACCCCATTTTGTTGAGCTTTTTAGTCAAATTTCTATGGAATTGCTTGTACATCAATCGCACACTACGTATGATGTGGTTAGCATCACGCTGGACCACCTTTACTTCCCAGGACTGTTCCTGGTAACCATTTATGGCCGAGTCTACCTAGGAGCCAACATCTTTTAAACAAGAAAAATCTGGCACCATCAGGACCTAAACCTGTTTTTTTTTAAAATAAACTTGTGTACTAAAAATACTAAAATCAATTACAGTGGTTTCTTGACTCACGAACCACTCTATCTACGAACTTTTCGAGACATACGGAATGTTTGCCTTTCCCTTTTTGACCTCTACATGTAAAACTAGATTCGAGATACTAACCGTGCAATCCTTAAAAATAGACCTTAAAAATATCTCGCAACAATGGGGCGAACTAGAAGAATCAGTCAACAAGTGGCATCCATATTAAGCTGTTCTTTCTAAAGCCACTAAGGCCTTCAATGGCAATGTCAATAATCATTTTTTAAGGGTCCAAAGAAAACTACAGACGCAAAGATAGGATTTTCTAACCTTTTGCGCAGGGAACTGAGTGGTTTCAAGGCATGGTGCATAGTTCAATCCCCGGTAAGGGCTGGGATTTTTTTTCACGCGGACGTGGACTTATAGTAATTTCCGCGCGTCTATGGGTAGTGAGATCGGACGCCCGCGTGCATTGTTGCGCACGTAAAAAATCCCTTGGCAGTTGGCAATCGAAAAAAAAGTAGACTATGGCGCTGCCCAGGTAAATTTGCAGTTAAAAATCTACCGAAAGTATTTCAGGATCCTCGCCGGTGCTACAAATCCTGTGCACTGTACTGAGCTTCCTCGGACTCAGACTTGAGTTAGAAGAAGGATGGGGCACTTATACTACCCGTGTGCCATGCTGTTGATAAGTTGTTCAAACATAAAACCTTCTGAGCAGAAGAAAGAAAACATTTTGTTTTTCATGATCTTTATCGGGTTGAGGTTGTTTTGTATTTTAAATCTGAGAACACTTTAATTAGTTCTTATAATTTGTAATGGGAAATTGTGTTTCGAGATACGAACCAAAGCTAGGGGCGAATTTAATGAAGTCGATATACCAGGGAAGTTTCATTGCTTTATATTAGTTATTGGTTTATGGTTGTATTCACTTTCAGTGACCACAGTTAGGGGTCAGGGTGACTCAGTGTGTCCAGTCAACAGCGCCATGGGGTTATGCACCGAGCTGGCTAAAACATGCTTCAGTGACAGCGATTGCTACAGTGGTAGGTACACATCTCACAGACATGCTGCTTAAGTTACTTTTATGGTTGTTTTAATTTGTCTTTTGCATCAACATTATCTTCTCCTTCTTCTTCTTTATTTTTCTTCTTCTTCTTCTTCTTCTTCTTCTTCTTCTTCTTCTTCTTCTTCTTCTTCTTCTTCTCTTCTTCTTCTTCTTCTTCTTCTTCTGCTTCTTCTTCGTTTTCTTCTTTTTCTTCTTTTTCGGCTTCGTTCTTCTTCATTTTCTTTCTGTGAGTTCCGTTTTCCTTGTTTATGTTTCTCTCTCCGTACTGATATTTAAAGATGTGACTACCTAGAGCAGGGCTATTCAATTGGTGGCCCGCGGGCCACATCTGGCCCGCGGAGGCCTAGCAAGTGGCCTGCGGATCATGGTCAGTTGTATTATATTATTGATCTATCTATGCTTGGGCTCACGGCTCTGGCCCGTAACGATCCCAGTCTGTTTAGCAAGCCAGCAGGACGAATCACAGATATCCCGTTCCATCTTTAAATATTATTACTGACCAGTATCGGCCACACCAAACTTGTGCAGCCTGGAGTAGTGCGTGGCTAAACGTGTGAGACGAACTCTCTTTGTCCGTTAATTACTTTCAGGACATCTTCACTACTCTTTTTTTTCTACCCACGGTGTTCTCATCATTTTTCTACAACCCTACATCTCTGCAGTTTCCACAGAGTTTGTCACTCACAGGCTGACAGCTGATACGATGATTTAACATTCCGTGATCTGTGTATTATTGTCATGTGCATTACTGAAAACCGTTAGCTGTATTGTTATGTCATCACTTCGTTCGCCCGGGATAGTCAACGTTCTTTTGATATTTTCTCCAGGCTATGCAGGTGTAATGGGAAATTGGGAAAAGAACAGGCAGACCACTGAGTGGTAAATTTATGAATGGCAAGTTAAATGTTGTCAAGGCCCTTTGGAAATGAATGAACAGTGCAGAGGCCCATCACAGTTTGAAGAGAATGGATCAGCGGAGCGAGGTCAGGAAATCTGGCCGAGACTCAAAACTCGGGAGAAGGCAAGTCGGACACGAATCAGAGATAGACTCGACACCCCAGGCAGTAATAAGGGAATAAGGAAGAAGAGTGGTGCCATAGGACCTGAATCTCACCCACGGATTGTTGAACATGGCAACGGAGTTCTTATCGGAATGTCACTGCTGTTATAATGTTTTTTTTTAACCCAGTACACTCAATACACTTGATTTCCCATCTCACGCTTCACTAGAATCACCAGTGATTATATTCTTGTTGCGGTCATATCATATGGTTAAGTGATGCAGATGTTTCTCTCTATTGCTTACTTGCTCTTTTCCCACAACGCCTGTCGTTTATACTTCTTTGTCATTTCTTTCTGCCCTAAGATGTGTATCTGTCGTAGGCTGGTAAAGGCTTGTCACCCAAATGTCCTTTGTTTGTTTATGATATTGTGTTCTCATAGGCTAATGTATACTTTGAGTCTTTCGTATTTTTAACATGTTTTGTACCCAGTCTGTTTTTATGCAGATATCCGCGTTTGTCTTTTCTCGTTCTTTCTTCTCATGACAAGTGTATTTTGTCATTGTGTGTGTTTTTTCATAAATAGAAAATTCAGAGTGTGCTGTGATTAATCTCATTCCTCACATGTTTAATTGTCACTGTATTTCTTCGCAACTCTATAAGACTTGTTCTAATTGTAATCATCATCATTGTGTGTTGTGCCAGTAAGCAAAGGTTGTTACCTTCTCACATGATCATCAGAATCACGGATCAGATGAATGTTTTGCCATTTATCTGGCCAGGTCCTCCAGGTATTTATCTTTTTGCTCTCTCTCATCAATCTTGCCAGTTATTGCAAAGTGAAAACATTCGTAATAGTAATGTAATGGTAATGGTAGTTGTTCCTCTCCAGGATTGCTCTTGGATTAAAATCAAGAGATGATAATTAAATCCAGCAGCAAAAAAACCTTCAACTTAAAACACAGTAACATTAGATCAACCTCACAGTTTCAAATAATGTATAGTCTATTAGGGGTGGGACTGATACAACCTTCAAGCAGATGATAACTACATGGCCTTGTTACTTGTTACTTACTGTGGGTAACTTCATCTCAGAAAATCGGTCCAGTCCATTCGTGCTTCGTTCTCGGATGCAACAGCCATCTGAATGCCCACCCCCAAATGATCAAATAAATAACATGACAATTTAGAACATTCTTTGATAAGTTTTTGAAAATCTGATCTTTGCCAAAATTCTCGTTTGTTATCACTGTTGACAGGAGAAATTTGCTGCCCTGAAGCATGCAGCCGCACGTGCAAGTCTCGACATGCGACCAAACAGTCGAGCGAAGGTTCGATCCCAGATCTTCTGAATGACCCAAGAGTTTATGTTGGTGAGTCATTATCACAATAACTCAATAAAAGGAATCATAATATTTTGAGATACGTTTTGGTCATAATGTGTTTTTAATCTATAATTTAATGCGCGTATTATATTAATTAGATTTTTAAAAGATAGACTTACAAATTTTGTTTAATAATTTTTTTTTTTTAAGTATTTTTTTTTCCTTTAAACTAAAACGAAAATGTTAGTGTAACGGATTATCGCAAGTACAAATACACACACTTTCAAAATTGGTTGACGCCCCCATGCAAACCACAAACGACCCCAACCAAGGTTAGAGACCATTGTTTTACAGAATGTTGCAGACACAACCCTCAGCATGTCTTCATCCTTTGAATTTCACTAAGCAATACATAGCGAGACAGGTGTACGGACACTACTCTCTAAAATAGGCAACCTGTGTAAGATAACTATGCAATGAATACCATCCCAGTGTGAGTTGATAAACTAGATAAGGAAGGTGCAGATAAAGAACAACCTGACTTACCAGTCTACTATCTACAGAAGAAGAGAATAATAAATCAACCAGAGGGTCATCAAAACAGGCACAATGCGATTACATTATTTGGGACAGACCAGAGCATCCCATTATTTTACGCCTCCACAGGACACAATCGACATCGCAGCCACATGTTCACAAAATTTAGGATTGGGGAATCAGATATGTGCACATAGGGACTGGCACCTGAGACAATAGATTATGTCCTCCAAATAAAACATATCAAGGCCCCAAAAAAAAATTCTGGTCTAGAGAAAACCCGGTTGCTGTCAAACTTTACTGTTCGCTGAGTGGATTACAAATGACAGCGAAGTTCAACCTACAGACAACATTTCAAATGCAGATAATATATTTCGGACGAATGAAAGAAGAAGAAAAAGAGGTAGGCAATTTTCCGTTCACTAGTTTGTTGTGTACGTGTATTTCCCTACAGGAAAATGTCCCGATGCTAGTTGCTACTCCATGTTTGGTGGGGACCCTAACGAGTGCAGTACATCCAAGCTGTGTCCTGGGGGGCAATATTGCTGCAACGACGGCTGTAAGAACGTGTGCCTGTGGAAGCCAGAGTACGCCTCAGCGATTGCCCAGGAACAGGCACGGGCCAGGCAACACCAGCAGATGCTTATTCAGGTTCTGTATTATGTTATATTGAGTTATGAGTTATGAGTTAGATTATGTTCACAGCACTCCGGACACATCCATATTCCCCTCTCAACATATTCATCAGCGTCATGCGGTTAATAGTACCAGTCCTATATTATGTGATGCTATGTTTGTTATGTTATTAGACTATCTTATGTTATCACGAATAACCGTATTGTATACGAGATACTCATTCTAACCTCCGTATGACTACAGGGCGTAAACTAAACATTTTTAGGATCGGCGGGAGTGGCTTACCCCACTCTAGATACAAATGTTCTAGATGGGTCCTCAGGGAAGCTTTTATAATAATAATAATAATAACAGTAAGCTATAAGGCAAATAAAAATATATAAAATGACATATGTTATGTACAAACAAAAATCGTTAAAAGGCTGCATTTTTTACATTATGGAAGGGGTGCAGTTTAATCTTCTAAGTTTATAGACCCCCCACAAGCAGTTTTGATTGGAGGCGGGAGGGGTGGGGGGGGGGGGGACTCAAGACCTCTATGCTCCAAATTTAACGCCCCTGCAGACTACTACAGGCTTGTGTAGTCCTTACTGGTGACCTAATTAAAACATCTTTAGGAGTTTGATGGGACATAGGGACTTGACATTTTGGTTTGCAATGTTCAAGGAAAAGCCTAGTGGAGAAACAGTCATGCACGCAGATAAACAGTCACTGGACATTAGATATTCCCGTGCGTCATTGGTCTTCCAATGCAGCAGCTCTCTTAAAAAAGGTATCTTTAGTGACTGTCCCTATAGGTTTTTGTAAAAATTGCACCCGTGAACCAAACGATACAGCCGTAAAGGGAGCAAGTGTCCTTCCGAGAATAGGGCAAACCAGGGCTGCCAATGGAATTTTTATCAATACAAAAGCAAAGAACCAAAAAAAAAAAAAAAAAACAACTTAAGAGTGATAAAAAGTTCACATTTTATAGTTACGAAACGAAACACGTACCCCTTTTTATATAAGGACTTTTTGTTTTGTTTTTGTTTAAATCCAAGATTCTAAAATCCGAGCGTCAAATTAAAAACTGAGATCTTGGGGGGGGGGGGGGGCTTTTGGCAGCCCTAGTGCAAACAGCTTGTTCGCATTGCCACAGATCTTTCAGATTTGTGTACTTGAAAATCTTGTGTCCTACTAACTGAACTCCATGAGACATTTCATGATTGGCTGAATCGGTGCAAAAAAAAAAAAAAAGGTTCGGAAATTGGTTGAAAAGTGGGACACTGATAACAAACGAACGTTTCGAATACAAATCTTTATCAGTGAACAAATTCATTTGTCAACGTGAAAAGATGGTATGGAATCGAGATCCTATTTGGTACAATGAATATAATATTGTGTGCTTTCATTAATTTGAATTTTTTTAATGATGATAGAGTGAATGAAGACGAAGAAGAAGAAGAAGAAGAAGAAGAAGAAGAAGAAGAAGAAGAAGAAGAAGAAGAAGAAGAAGAAGAAGAAGAAGAAGAAGAAGAAGAAGAAGAAGAAGAAGAAGAAGAAGAAGAAGAAGAAGAAGAAGAAGAAGAAGAGGAGGAGGAGGAGGAGGAGGAGAAGGAGAAAAAAGGAGGAAGAAGAAGAAAAAGAAGAAGAAGAAGAAGAAGAAGAAGAAATGAGGAGGGGAATACATCTTGTGTTAGGTACATAAGGGTTGAACTGTAATTACATAAATGTTACATGACATATAAAAATAAATGGAAAATACGACAAACATCTAGAACATCGGTTCTTTTTCCACAGAAACAACAAGTGGAGATGAGACGAAAACAACAGGAGATGTACATTCAGAGGCAGCGACAACTGGTCAGTTTGGAGCAAGCCAGACAGCGGGCTGAAGCTAGGGCAGCTGCGGAGGTAGAACTGCTGGCACAGCAGGTTAGTGTCATTACCAACATGCAGATGATGACGTCAACAACGTTACAAGATTTGAAGAAACCAATCCTAACCTTGACACCGTTTTAGTGAAAATCATATTGATATTACCAATATGGCTCTCAATGAAGATACTCTATTTTATTGGGTGCTTCAAATTATATGTTACCCCAAACAGGGAAAATCCACAGGTCACGGGAGAGTAATATTTTAGGGTGTGGTAGATAGGATGCATGCAGTCGTGGGACCTTGGCTTCATGCATTCGTGGGATTTAGGCTGCACACTCTCGTGGGACGTAGGTGGGTTGGAGTTAGCGCCAGGTCCCGCCTCCCAAAATATACTTGGAAAACCGATAGGAAGTTAGCAGATTGTTTGTGATGACCTCTTATGAATATTAACAATGCGGCTTCTGAACCAGTCCCCATCCCTTTAAACAGTTCCGTCCATCCCAAATCTTACATATGAGTTACTGCCATAAAATCTCGCCTGGTTGATCAAACCAGCTGACTCTCCTGGAGAAAAAAACAATCGGTTAATTCATAGATTTGACGTTCTCATTCCTGCCTGGGTAAATATTCAGTGCATCTTACGTTAAATTATTCTTTTAACCTTACTCATATTTCTCTTCTCCACAACCCCTTTCTTTTCCGTTCTTCACACACTGTCTTGTTTGTTTCGTTCGGTATTATAACCGTTCATGTCAATATTTACTACTGCTTTGTATTTCTGGATCCAGGTTGAACTCGATGTATAAGCTTTGTTATTCTGTACGTTGGGTTTTCTGGTCACATTTTGTGTTGTATAAATACGTAAGACGAAACTTTCAGTAGTATTTGTAGTAGTACTTTTCGTCTCCTCCCTTATCTCTGTTGAGCTTTCGTGTAAGTTTTTTTTTTTTTTTTTTAAATTAAAACAATTACGGACACAAACAAACATTGCACACTTTGTTACCTGACATATTTTTATGTATCTCGCCAGGTAACAAATTGTCAGGGAATAAGTTCTCTTGCTTGTGTCCGCATTATTTAAATTTACAACGGCAAAACACTGTTTTGTATTTTCAACATATTAAATCGACTGAGGCCACTCCTATTTACTTCATGTGAAGCTGTTTAAAAATTGTATACATTTTCAAAACATTTTTTTGCCTTCAGAAACGAGCTTCATTTGAAGCAAATTTGAGGGCAGCCGCAGCAAATCAGGTCAAGATATCATCTAAACAACTTGGACAAACGGTAACTTTTTTTTTTAGTTGTATTTTTAATCTATAGAAACTATTCTTAGATTAAAATGTTCGAACTGTATGCATGACCCCCTCCCCCGTTTTCCACCCCCGCCCCCTTTTTCGCCTCTATTACAGTCTTTAAATGCGCACATACAAACTAAGATCATGACAAACAGTCCAAACCAACAACCAGTGACCATAAGTAACCAATCACTTGAAAATGTAGAACATTTCACATATCTTGGCAGAGGGGTGTCACTACTGGGAGGGACAGAGGAAGACATACAGTCACGCCTGAACAAAGCTAGAGCTGCTTTTGGAAGGATGAGGCAAATCTGGAAATCCAACAGTTACTGCAGAGGAACAAAACTCTGACTCTACAAGAGCATCATTTTGCCAGTTCTTCTTTATGGAGCGGAATGCTGGAGAATGACCAGAAAGGATGTACACAAATTGTCCACCTTCCACCACACATGTCTACGTAGAATTATCAAAATTTTCTGGCCAGATACAATCTCAAACACTAAACTACTTCAAGTCACAAACCAAGAAACTTTAGACAGTATGATAACCAAGAGAAGATGGAAATGGCTTGGCCACGTTATGAGAATGAATCCTGATATACCTGCCAAAACAGCTCTCACATGGACACCAGAGGGATAGAGAAAAAAGGGGCGCCCAAAAACAACATGAAGACGAACGATGAAAAGTGACCTGAGTGTGGCATCTTTGACATGGAAAACTGCATTGAAGATTGCACAGGACAGGAAAGCATGGAGAGTCCTCTCTGAAGCCTCATGTGCCACTAGGCATAACAAGAACTGATGATGAAAGGCTCACACAGAGGTTTATACTCATGTGAGTCTATGCTCATGTTATGTCCAGTGCGGCACTGGCAGATAAATTGCCAATTACTTTCATGACAATCTATATGGACTTATCATATGTTTTGAGGTGTTGATATTATGTATTACTTTTACCTTGTTTAATGTCAGATGTTTTTGTTTGAAATTATTTACACATGTATGTCTTTGGCGTCTTTGACTTTGACTTAGGGGTTATGAACATAATATCACAACCCCCCCCCCCCCTTCCCATACCAGTGTTCGAAAAGAGCTTTGAGCGATATTACTGCAGACCGCTTGTGTTGATTTCGACCATACCGTGAGCGTAAAATTGTTCAAAGTCGACTGTAACGTACGAGATCATAGTCCCTTGTAACATTCGAGATCATAGTCTCTTGTAACGTATGAGATCATAGTCCCTTGTAACGTTCGAGTTCATAGTCCCTTGTAACGAATGAGATCATAGACCCTTGTAACGTATGAGATCATTGTCCCTTGTAACGTTCGAGATCATAGTCCCTTGTAACGTATGAGATCATAGTCCCTTGTAAGGTATGAGATCATAGTCCCTTGTAACGATCGAGATCATAGTCCCTTGTAACGTATGAGATCATAGTCCCTTGTAACGTACGAGATCATAGTCTCTTGTAACGTTCGAGATCATAGTCACTTGTAACATACGAGATCATTGTCCCTTGTAACGAACGAGATCATAGTGCCCTTGTAACGTACGAGATCACAGTCCCTTGTAACGAACGAGATCATAGACCCTTGTAACGTATGAGATCATAGTCCCTTGTAACGTTCGAGACCATAGTCCCTTGTAACGTATAAGATCATAGTCCCTTGTAACGTTTGAGATCATAGTCCCTTGTAACGTTCGAGATCATAGTCCCTTGTAATGTACGAGATTATAGTTCCTAGTAACGAACGAGATCATAGTCCCTTGTAATGTACGAGATCATAGTCCCTTGTAACGTTCGAGATCACAGTCCCTTGTAACGTACGAGATCATAGTCCTTTGTAACGAACGAGATCATAGTCCCTTGTAACGAACGAGATCATAGTCCCTTGTAACGAACGAGATCATAGTACCTTGTAACGTTCGAAATCATAGTCCCTTGTAACGTATGAGATCATAGTGCCCTTGTAACGTTCGAGATCATAGTCCCTTGTAACGTTCGAGATCATTGTCCCTTGTAACATATGAGATCATAGTCCCTTGTAACGTTTGAGATCATAGTCCCTTGTAACGTTCGAGATCATAGTCCCTTGTAACGTTTGAGATCATAGTCCCTTGTAACGTTTGAGATCATAGTCCCTTGTAACGTATGAGATCATAGTCCCTTGTAACGTTCGAGATCATAGCTTGTTCTGTAAAGCATATAAAGGTGTGTTTTCCTGTCTTGTGATAGTTGCGAATCATGTGTTATGTCAAACTGTGTTTCTGTAGTGTCTCTTTTACTTCCTCCGCCCATATTTTCTTGGTCGCCCTCTTGACGTGCAGTCTACTGTTCTCATTTAGCACGCTTTAGCTGATGGCTTATTTTGTTCCATTCTGACAAGATGACCAGATCAAACATTTGATTCTTTGATGCTCTAGGAAATCATTTACCGGCACAGTCCATATCATTGTTATTAGTTCTTCTTCTTTTGTCAAAATCTGCTTGTGCCGCTAGCCGTCGCAGTCTATCAGATGATCGGCAACCGAGCCAGGGCGCGCTCAGTCGCTTCATATGCCGTGATGTTATGAAGTCTCAAGTTGTCAGTGACTCCTTCAATCCATCTTCTTCTTGGTCTTCCCCTGCCTCTTGGTGTTTCGATTTTGATGTTGTATGCTCTTGATGCTGGCATCGTTGGTTCCATTCTCATTAGGTGACCAAACCATTTCATTCTTTGCTTCTCAATAAATTTAACGATGGGTATGGTTCCAATAGTTCTTGTAATCACATCGTTTCTCACTCGATCTCTTCTGGTTTTGTTATTAGTTATTCGATTATAATTATACTCTTCTTTTTTCTCCCAGCGCATTTCTTATTATATAATTTGACATGTTGCAAATGACCGACTGACTGACTTTCTACCCCACCAGGACATCACACACAAGCGATAAACACTCAATGATACAACGTACAACCATGTGGGTGAGGATCACCGTGGAGAGGTCCCAGAAAACACGTTCAGCCTTTAGGCAATATTAATGGCCAGGCTATATTGCGGCCCCTGGCAAGAGCCAGAGTAGCTTCTAATAACGAAACATTTCATTCTTAAAAGGAAGAGAAGTAATTAATTATTGATGTTGCAAATTGAATGTTGTCCTTCTCGACCCTCTGCATCTGTGTTGTATGTACTTTTTGTATAAGCTGTTAACGAATATGTTCTCCTCGTGCATTATTATTTATTAGTAGTAGTAGTACTTTAACCCCACTATGACATCATACAAGCGATAAACACCAGAAGACACAAAGTGCCACTATTTAGATTATGATCACACGTAGAGAGGTCCCAGAAACCGCGTTCAGCCATATTTATGGCAGGGTTATATTGCGGCCCCTGGCCAGAGCCAGTGTGGGGCTTCAAAATAACGAAAAATTGCATACATGTAATGACTAGTATAATATTGCATTATTATTACAATTTATAACGTACATTTCTCTAAATAGTATATGCTGTCGTAGTAATTACAATTGCCTTTTGCAGGTGGCACAGCTTAATACCGGCAATCAGCAAACATCAAACCAGCTGTCTCTCCAATCTAGTCCTGCAAAAAATGACTTTCTGAGCAACTTTGAGAATAAACCACAGACAAACAACACAGGAATCAACCTCAGTGGTAGCAGCTTGGCTCCGCAACAGACAGCATCAACGGCTATCGCCAAAAATTCAACTCCATTGAAGAAAGATAACCTGCCCGTGTCATTTTCTAATCATATTAACTCCCCTGCTAGTCTAAATCCTCATAATAATTTTCGATCACAACAAAACGTGGGAAACAAAGACATGCAAGAACCGTTGACAATAAGCCAGTCTGTTGGGTTTACTTCTGAAGTTCAAGTCCCCAAGACTATGACAGTATCTGGTTCTGTAAATCCAGTATTGACATATCTCCAAAGCCTTCCTGGCGCGAAACTAGCGAACACAAATTTACTGCGACAAGCCTCTTCGCTTAGAGCATTTCCCACGAATTTGTTACAGCACTCCTCTTCACTTAACTCAGTTCCAGGCGCTTACTCAGGTTCCTCAAATTCTATTTCCACTTTCATAAATAGACATTTCCCACAGCAATCGCAAAATAATGTTAATAACCAAATGCCTGTTCAATCACAATCGCGGGTGGTCCAACAAATTCCTGCAGTCAATGCTGCCAGAAACCAGTCACCAGCATTCATCAACCGACAGCAGCCTTTTGTAACTTCTAATCAAAATCAGTCTCCAGGCTACCCGAGGCCAAATCCTTATCAGGGTCTGGGACAGAGGATGTCATATCTAGCTCAAACTCCTGATCGAGTTAATCAGAGGAAGCTCTCGCTGCCTGTTGCATATAGGGCAGCGGGTCAAAGGCAGCAGCAACCACAGCAGTCAGCTGGTTCTCTCTCAGGAAGAGGTTACCAGAGTGACAATATGAACACGTATCTAATGTTTGACATGATGCAGACGGCAGTGTAACAAACACAGAGCTGTTTGCATACGCTCACCACAGTTAGTTAATGTGTAACAAAAACAATATAAAGTACTCAATATATTAGTCTACTGTTTTGTTCGGTTTATTTGAGTAATTAATTTTGCGTATTTTTCTTTTTAATTATTTCACATTTTGTGTTCTTATTCCTATGGTTGATAGCCAGGATAATTTTCTTTATCTTGTTCCTCTTGTCTGCTTCTTCTTGAACTTGAGTCATATGGACGTCTTGTCTTGCTACATGTTGTATCCAGAAGGCGTCCACCATACATATTTACTAGGCAAGTGGGGGGGGGGGGGCGGGGGGGGGGGGGGGGGGGGGGAGCGGGGGACCTCAAAGGACATAATAAAATTACGGATACAAACATTCGTATTACAGATTTGACTTATACATGTACAGATTGTTGGTTTCATGTTCCTCAGAAAGATGCACTCCAACTTCAAAACAAACATCGATCCTATTTCCTTAGGTAAGGTCCAAGGTCTAGGATGACCACAGAGAGGTTATACAGGTCTTGATCAGTACCTGCCATAGTCCTGCCGTAGAACTAGAGGTCGTGATTTCTTCTGTTTCCCATAAGGAAGCACTAAAGCGACTTTTTGGTTAATAAACTTGTTTTACAATCCTCGATGTACCAGTGTTTTACCATGAGACCTCACCATATAATATTCCAGAAAAACAGCAATGGATGTACCGAATGTAAGATAGGCCTGCGTGCCCAATTTGTGACCTTTTGAAAATAAAGTTCGCTCGTTCCTTCGTTCGTTCCTCCGGTTATCTGAAAGCAGTGACAACAAAAACAGTACAAATTAAAAATCCAGCACACGGGAGACTATGCCAAATAAATGTTTTATTACAATCACCCTATTGAAGTCATTCATGTAAAGAAAAATGCTGCAAAAAATGACACTGACATATAGTGCTATAGTCAGTTCGAAAAGTCGTGCCAAAATTTTAAAAATCTGTAACTCAGTTCTCGTTTTGTGTAAATTGTTGAAATTAAACATGCTACCTGTTAATAGTTAAAATCTTCTAGGGAAATGATTACAATGAAAACAAACATCTAGTTTTTGGTTTACCTTATTTGGGGCAAATAGGAAAGAAAAACGCAAAGTCAAAGCATACAGTTAGCGTGTTTACAGTAACTGTTTTGAGGCAATGTAGGCAAGACAACAAACTGCGTGTATTTAGGAGGTAATCATATTTTGAATAGTGAAGCTGATATGTTATGTCTTGCCAGTTGTTTGTTGACTGGCTCATAAGAAGTCCAAGTTTTGTATCAATCTCTGTCTGTACTTATATTTTTAGGGGCATACAAATTATTAGTCCAACAAAGATCAACAAAATTCATCACTGTAAGAAACCTAAACCATTGTAAATTATGAAATCATCAAGATATCAGAAAACTAAGACCATTATCAAAATTCGCGTTAATCGGTACATCAATTTTGTTGAGTTCTTTTGAAATTTGAGGCGACGACTTTTGAAACGGACTACAGACAGGAATGCACTCAACAGAATTATTACCATCACCAGTAGCCCTGTAGATAAGCGTAGACAGTGATGGTTCACCATACAATGCGATCACCATTTTCATGGAGCAAGTCAGTTCTCTTGTCTCCTCTCATCCAAAAACCAGCCAGGTATTTATCGTTTTTGTTTTCTCTCTGCTCTTTTCATGCTGGATCACAAATTAAATCTCTCCTTATTTGGTGTGGCATCACAAGGCCTGTGTCTAAATGAATAAGCGATAAGCCTGACGTCGTATCCAAGTCAAGATTTAGTAGATATTAGGGTACAACCTGGAACTGACGGTCGTGGACAATTAATTTGATTAACACCGAACAGGCCTAGAACTATAGATAAAATCTGCTAACCTTTGGATCGGTCCGGAGTGTCATGACAATCTCCTGACTACTCACACCACGAGGCAGACAAGACGGTGTAAAGATAATAATATACGGGCAGATCTACAAACACTAGGAGCAACCCACTGGCCAGAAAAGACCAGTCAGAGAGCAGAACGGAGGCAAGTGATCTCTGCAGCTAATGAACCTCAAGGGCTCGAAATGCTGAAGAAGAAGAAAAAGACGAATTGCAAATCTCCATGTTACGGCTCTTCACAGCAGTACTGATTTGACATTTCAACGAAATATTTTACATTTTTTTACTAGTTTTACTGATTTTTTTTTTTTTTTTTTCTTCTTCTCTGTAATGACATTTCAAGAAGACGCTGGTGTTGAGAAAGGACACAGGTTTTCAAGACTTGATAACAGTATAAGTAAAAACAATTTCTTCTGTTGAAATCTACATGGTAAAATCATGACCTCATCAGATAGCAAAGAAAAAAACGACGTTGCCTGAGTCGACTGAGAGTTTGTGCTCCATTTGAGGACAGAGGGCAAAAGAAGAATTACTTATCAAAATGGTCAAATCTTTTTTTTTTTTAAATAAATGTTTGTGTGTAAAAATAAATCAACAGGTTTTAGAAAACAGAGTATTACGACGAATCTTTAGACCTATCAAAGATGTACACAGCGGGGAATGGGGTGAGAAGCAACAACGAAATTAATGATCTGTTAAAATCACCATTGATCACTTTCATCATGAGAGCTAATAGGTTGAAATGGCTGGGGCATATTGGGAGAATGTCAGATTACAGAGAGGTAAAAACTGAATACCAAGGGAGATGAATGGTCGTAGACCACGAGGCAGACCAAGAAGAGGATGGAGAGATAATATCCAGAGAGATCTGCGAACATTTGGTGTTATCAGCTAGAAATAAAAAGCCAACCAGAGAGATGAGTGGAGGCGGGTGATATCTGCAGAAATAAATCTCAAAGGCCCGGAATTCTGAAGAAGAAGAAATAGAAATCAATAATTGTCAGTTAAATTCAAATCTAAACATGAGCTAGATGTGTTTGAAATGTACCTAAAGGTACCCTACTATAGGAAGAGGAAATCAAGCATCCTCAGAAGCTGGGAGCCGAGGCGCCTCCAAACTTCTTTTCTTCTACAACATATTTTTAACGGGTGAGGGATTTGTCTGCCAATTATGTCGGTTTGCAAAAGGGACCGTGTCCGCCCCCTCCCTACTTCGCCACACACCGAACAATGTTTAGACGTTCTCTTGTTAAATATTTGATTATTCATTTCAGACTATTCTGGTATTTATTTATATGCCACTCAGCCTATAATAATGTAATAATTCAAATTATTTTTAGTATGGTCCAACTTCACAAGTCTTTGGTCCGTTTAGCCCATAGACAATTCGAAGAGCTAAGCGTTCCCATCCCAAACTCCAGAAAACTATAAGGTGGTGAGACCTATGCTTTGTGTGTGTGTGTGTGTGTGTGTGTGTATGTGTGTGTGTGTGGTGGCGGCCCTGAAATTATCTACTAAACAGTGGTTTTCGGAGATGTATTAGAAACTAGCCTGTTTGACAGACTGTTGTAAGTTGTAGTATCCTCTAGCAGTGTAGACAACGAGCCTGAAGCAGCAGTGTCTGAATTGTTCATACCTGTTGCTGGGTGATTTAAAGAACTACCGTTTACTGGGTTGTTGAAAGTGTCTGTAGCAGTGTTTGAACTGTTCATCCCTGGTGATGGGTGATTTAAAGAACTACCATTTACTGGGTTGTTGAAAGTGTCTGTAGCAGTGTCTGAATTGTTTATACCTGGTGATGGGGAGCTCAAAGTACCGTCATTTACTGGGGTGTAGAAAGTGGCTCTACCAGTGTCTGAACTGTTTATACCTGGTGATGAGTGATTTAAAGAACTACTATTTACTGGGTTGTTTAAAGTGCCTGTAGCATCAGTCTTTGAACTCATACCTGGTGGTGGGGGTTTTGAAGAACTGTCATTTATTGGATTATAGAAAGTGGTTGTAGCAGCAGTCAGTGAGTTGTTCATACCTGTTGCTGGGGTGTTTGAAGAACTGGTATTGCCTACTGAGGAGAAAGCACTAGGGCTTTCAGTGCCAGGATTTAGCTGAATAACATTATTGTCAAATGCCTGGGCAATTTGGGTAAAAGATGTCTTCAGAGATCGTGTGTCTAATGTTGGTTTGGCGCTTCCCGTCTGTGGTTTCTGGATTTTGTCTTCGTTCGTTGAGGCATTGACTCCTGGGAAGGTTGCTTGGGATAGCAGAGGTTTATCTTTGGCTGTAGAAAGATCAGAACTGTATGGATTATGTATTTTGGTTTCGAGTAGGTTGTCGGAAGAAAGGCTATCATTGTAAGCATCTGTCAATGGAGGAAGGAGGCTGTTGCTGGCGGCTGCAGCATCCCAGATTAGAACTACATTCCTATCAGAGCCCTCGCTGACGGTGGAGTTATCTCTGGACATTTCTGTTAAATTCATTACGGAATTCTGCACACCGCGGCTTGCTTCTTGGCTGCTGTTTAAGTGGGACCAAGTAGATGGTGCGGGTTGGTGTTCATAAACCTGATACGAGGGTGTTGTTAGATAAGCATTGTCTTGTAACGGATGCATGCTAGATGTTGTTATCGCAATCAGTACAGCATCTGTTGCTGATGTATTACCATGAGTTGTGGCAGGGGAAGCATCTGTTTGCACATGCGTTGATGGAACATACTCCGACCCAGCTGGCACTGAGGTTGTAGCATTGCTGAAAAGAGTGTTAGTTCTGTTCGTATCCTGATCTCTAGAAGTGGGTACAACGGGAACATTTAGCATAAGCATAGCTTCATCTATTGGAATTCCATACATCCCTGCAATCGCAGTAGCCATTGACAACTTTTCGTTAGTTGCGGCTGGATCTCTCTGCGGCATCTCTAAATATGGGTTGTTATTCTCACCGCCTGTGACAGCAAAACTGTGGCTGTTTTCAGGAAAGAAATTATCGGGGTTGTACTCGGTGTAATTAGCAACCGTTGCAGACGTTGTCATTTCTGTTCTTTGTTGAAACGGATGAGTTTGAACTGGTATGGGGGATTCAGGGAACTGTACGTTGCTCAAAGCGTTC